AACACAGGTAGTACAAGGCAGTGAAATAACACAGAAAGTGCATATTATTCTCCATAATAAGGGCCTCAACCATGCCTGGACCCCAATCATGTTTAAATTAGGATTCTGTTAGTAAGGCGTTCGATTTGATGGCACACCCACGCCTAAAAATGCTTCTACCAAACCAACAACAAATACACACCAAACATCTCCAGGTAACAAACGAGAGTCCTGGCAGCTTGCCCGAGACATTCAGTAGCAGCAGAGCGGGTATTTACTGAATGTCATGTGAGGCAGATACAATCAATGGAAACTAAATTTGCATTAAGGTGAAATTGCTCACACTGGGATTAGTGTGTACAAGGCTTACTTGAAATCCTCCATCTTAGCAAAGAAATGTGGGGGTTTCACAGAGTGTGTAAGAAAGGCGGAAAGATTGGGTTTAGGGTCTTGTGTATTGAATCTCAGCTCCTGCTCTGTGCATTTCATAGTTTGTTAATTGATTGCTATGGGTTGTTATTAGGTTATCCTGCCATACTCACAACCCACAATCATCCTGTTACACTCTCTCTGTAACAGTCATCCTCATACACAGTCACCCCTCACACACAACACAGCCTCGACAAACACTCTCTCTGAAACAGTGATCCTCATACACAGTCACCCCTCACACACAACACAGCCTCAGCAAAAACTCTCTCTGTAACAGTCATCCTCATACACAGTCACCCCTCACACACAACACAGCCTCGGTAAAAACTCTCTCTGTAACAGTCATCCTCATACACAGTCACCCCTCACACACAACACACCCTCGGCAAAAACTGTCTCTGTAACAGTCATTTTCATACACAGTCACCCCTCACAGACAACACAGCCTCAGCAAAAACTCTCTCTGTAACAGTGATCCTCATACACAGTCACCCCTCACACACAACACAGCCTCGGCAAACACTCTCTCTGTAACAGTCTTCTCATACACAGTCACCCCCTCACACACAACACAGCTTTGACAAACACTCTCTCTGTAACAGTAATCCTCATACACAGTCACCCCTCACACACAACACAGCCTCGGCAAAAACTCTCTCTGTAACAGTCATCCTCATACACAGTCACCCCCTCACACACAACACAGCCTCGGCAAAAACTCTCTCTGTAACAGTCATCCTTATACACAGTCACCCCTCACACACAACACAGCCTCGACAAACACTCTCTCTGTAACAGTAATCCTCATACACAGTCACCCCCTCACACACAACACAGCCTCGACAAACACTCTCTCTGTAACAGTCATCCTCATACACAGTCACCCCTCACACACAACACAGCCTCGACAAACACTCTCTCTGTAACAGTCATCCTCATACACAGTCACCCCTCACACACAACACAGCCTCGACAAACACTCTCTCTGTAACAGTCATCCTCATACACAGTCACCCCTCACACACAACACAGCCTCGACAAACACTCTCTCTGTAACAGTCATCCTCATACACAGTCACCCCTCACACACAACACAGCCTCGACAAACACTCTCTCTGTAACAGTCATCCTCATACACAGTCACCCCTCACACACAACACAGCCTCGACAAACACTCTCTCTGTAACAGTCATCCTCATACACAGTCACCCCTCACACACAACACAGCCTCGACAAACACTCTCTCTGTAACAGTCTCCTCATACACAGTCACCCCTCACACACAACACAGCCTCGACAAACACAATGCACACATCAAGAACACAAGCAGCCCTGTAAAAAACAAAAAGCACTTTAAGCAGCCCCCACACATGCTAACAGAGAGAGAGACAGACACACACAGATATGAATTCCCAACACAGTCACGGATACATATACACACTGATATATACTCACAGGGATATTTACTACCAGACACACAATCTCAAGCACATACATAGATATACAATGCCAGACATGCACACACAGGTAACAATAGAAGCTGCTAGACATACTGTAATTGTGTGTTTGTATCTGTCAATGTACGTGTATATTTGTGTCATTGTGTGCCAATGTGTTTGCGTATTTGTTTGCAAAAGTCATGAGCTTCTCATGCATGACTACTAAGTAAAACTGAGACAGGTGGATTAGTGGGTGGAATTAGGCAGAAGCCCCAACTAAGAGGTGTGCCAAACAAAGCAAGCTGACCAACTTTATAGTAAGTTTATAAAGGTTTAATACATACTTTTCAAAGTTTACTTTTTAAAATTTGTAAATATTTTGTGTAAAAGTGAAAACAGAGAATTTTTGGAGTGCTAAATTTGAAATACAATGTTGTTCTTAAATTGGGCAAAAAAAAAAAAAGCACTTTGTGACTTAATAATTGATGTCTGGTACACAAAATACACCACTAAAATAATCACAAGTGGAACAGTATTATATATACACAATGCAAGATATATACAACTGTAATCTGTAAATCCTCCAGTAGATGGCAATCAATCAGTGTACATAGAATAAAGAAAGAAATTGCAGATAGTATAGATTGTTTTAAAATAAACAGATCAATAGTTCTCCTATAATGCACCACTAATGCTCACACAGTATGTAATAATGGAGTTATGTATATACTTTGCATCACTTCAAACCATTAAATGTGTATATACTTAGAGAAATTGCCTCCATAAGAAGACAGTGTTATGCGTATTTACAAAACAAATGTATTATGAATATTGTGCAAATATGACAAATAACAAAAAAAACAAATATGTGAATCAAAACAATAAAAGCACTGCCTCTTACGAGAACAGGTGGAGAGTAAACACGTCTTATAACGTTATTCTCCAACAGGCTCAGTATAACGGGCTGCGGGCGCCTCTGTATGGGTAATAAAATCCTCACGAACTTCTGCCGACTAAGTCCCCAGTTCCCGCCATGCGTTTTAACTTGTAAGCTCCACCCCTTCTGAATAACGTCTACGTGTTACGCCGTTAGGGGACGGCTTCCTCAGGACGTATTGATGACTCCATCTTGGAAAGGGCCATTTAAGGGCAAGGTCCGGAATCCTCTTTGGTGATTTGTGCGTTCCATTATTTGCATATCTCGTAATTACATTTTAGCTTGCAATGTCCAGTATTATATGGCCCATATATAAAAGTCCCAAATCACAGTATAATCTATAGTACTGCATCTTGTAAACTGATATTCAACAATTGTAATAACCTAGAAAATGTTATATATGAATAAAAACAGAAACAGCATTCCTTATTCAAATAGTCATGAGATATAGCTAGACATATATGGTAATCGAACTAATCTAGTCCAGTGTAATATCACATAAAACACCCTATTTTGGAAAAATAGTATTAAGAACAGAAATAAACATACATATATACATAGTGAAAAGCAGCCATTATAGAGTTTAAAATATATGGAAAAAGAGGGAAAAATATATGTGTATGTTAACGGATATGCATTGCAATCCATAACTCAGATATACAAAAATATGGCAGAGTAGAAATGCCATGCACAAGTTCGGACAAAGTGTATAAAGTGGTGGAGATAAAATAAATAAAATTAGAATTCTAAATAAAAAGGTTTCAAAATCCAGGCAGGTAGAATAAATGTATTAAAAAATATATTAAAATATGTAAAAATTATATTATTCATTTAAAAAACGTCAGATCTCGAAATCACTATTAAGTCCATTCACCCTTCACCTGTTATATCCCAATAAAATCCAATTTTGGGAGATCCACCTATTATGGTACCTTCCATATGGATCCATAGGGTGTGTGCCACCAGAAGTGCACAACGGCGCAAGTGATTAGAGCCAGTCCATAATAGGCTCTAGACCACGTGAGTGCTTCCAATTGGAATATATACTTCCATTCTAAATCCAACAGTGTTGCACTATATATTCTTCCCTTTTTTCTCTACAGTGATTTATATTAATTCTATGCCTCCACCATAATTTTGGGAGTGAGTAACTTATTTCTAGCGCTACACACTTGCACTAATTTGACACTTGTTTGTACAAATAGTGTTTTTTTTTTTATATCACAATGTTATATACATGTTCGGACACCCTAGTCCGCAATGGTCTTGTAGTGCGGCCTATATAGTTAAGTCCGCATGGGCATGAGAGCATGTTTGCAACATTGTGGGAACTGCAAGTAATCCCTTATTTCATTTTATTTTCAGTGTCATTTGCTGTAAACTCTTTAAAGTGCTTTTTCTTACCTCATGTCTTAGTGCAGGCATTGCAACACTCACATTTATAGAAACCTTTCTGCATACTTAAAAAAAAGTATATATTTTTTATTATTTTTATTTAATGCATATGGTTGCTTTAAAGAATGGTCACCTTATTCTGGGAGGCGACTCTATAATGGGTGCTTTTCAATATGTATATATGTATGTTTATTTCTGTGCTTAATACTATTTTTCCAAAATAGGGTGTTTTAGGTGACTTTCATATATGGGCAATATAATACATTGCAAGCTAAAATTTAATTACGAGATATGCAAATATTGGAATCCACAAATCACCAAAGAGGATTCCGGACCTTGCCCTTAAATGGCCCTTTCCAAGATGGAGTCATCAATACGTCCTGAGGAAGCCGTCACCTAATGGCAAAACGCGTAGACGTCATTCAGAGGGGGCGGAGTTTACCAAGTTGATCTATTTATTTTACTTACAGATTATCTTACATCATATATATAATACGGCTTTACTTGTGATTATTTTAGTGGTTTATTTTTCTGTAAAAGTGATTGCATGCTGGTTGAAAAAAAATTAATTGTCAAGTGATGCATGTTCCTTCGGGGTTTAACTTTAAATGAAGGTATATATTTTTTTATTTAATTTGGTGTATAGTTTCACATGGTTTGATCCAGGCAGTAGTTCTGAACCATGAGGAGGGTAAGTAGGAGTATTATATAAACGTCAAACCTATGCCTCCCAACAGTCCGGCTTTTGGCAGGACAGTTTCGATATTTGACCTGGGGGCGCCAGGGAACTGTGTCAACACTGCACAGAAAACCAGAGTATTGAATATGGAAGGTGATGGCCTATTCTTTAGCCCCAATTTAAGAATGGACCAAGGATTCACAATACTCTGTAAGTAGATTTCCAAGGCAGTGCCCAATCCGTTGGAAAATCAATGGTGCCCAGCCCCTACGGAAAAATCAATGGCACAACGTTATTGGCTGAACATTGTGGGAGCTGTGTCCAGTGTGAAATCAATACAGGGATCTAGTCGTGATCCAATTTATCAGTTCAATATAAACCAAACAGGATTATTTATTAAAGTATGACTTGGCAGGAATTCCAGTCAAATTCGAAGAGACGTTTAAATTTTATGCCAAATTCGGTAAATGCATAGCTGACATATTTTAGCCTGTTTGAAACTCACTTTGTATTTACTTTGAATGTATAAAAATTCACACTTTAGTAATTATCCTCATAAGAATTTCACTGCTGTTTGAATTAACGCTTGGCAGGGTCGTGTGGCTGCAAGTTTCATTTTGTGTGCAAATTCTTTTAGAATTTTGAGAAATCACCTTTTGAGATACAAGTTGCATTCTTAACCAAGTGGAAGACATCGTGTAAGATTATTCATAATTGATGTCTTTGGAAGACGGAGGGTATTCTGGTTCACAGCTATTTATACACATTTATTTATGATCATTTTTATGATAATGGGTTAACTATATATAGCAACCAACATAGTTTTCCAAATATTTAGACACATTCCATGGTGTGAAACCTACGTACTTGTCCAGACACATAACTCGAGCTGAATAGTACGATTGATCACTTGGTATTGAATAGCGTATTCTTATCGACACCCTGCTTTATGGAAACGTTTAGCAGAACAATCATGCTTTATAGCGTGGTGGGATTTCACGAAAGTTTTGAAGCTAAAATCTCCTCCATGGATGCCATTTTTGGTGTTTCTGTGCATTTATTACTATGCATTTGAATCATCATATTTGTATTATTTTATTTGCACCAGTTTGGCGTACAAAAATTATACACAACTTGTACTAAATGAAATTCAAATTTAAATCATGTATTTCACCTACATAGTAATCTATGCTGAAAAAGATACAAGTCAATCAAATTCATTCTTTCACACAGCTGATAATACGGTTCTGATTTTAGAAATAGTGGATATCTAGGATTCCAAAAGATTTAGGCAGTTATTGGTCTAATTGTGCAATGACAGAATCACTCAAAGCTAAATGTTTAGCAAAACTTGTTATGATGAGGCTTTATAATTAGGATCATCAAATCCAAAAACACTACGGAAAAAATATAAAAAGGACTTGCTGAAACCGGACACCCCAAAATATTTACCAAGCAGGATTTCAACCCTTTTCTCATTGATTTGTGGTGAACTTTGTTATAGCCCAGTACCTGCCAATACCAGTGCATACAAGATACAGAGGATGCCTCGAGGACTGGATCATAAAAGTGTATTCTGAGTTCTGTGACACAATGTCAGAGTTGGGGGATGCCCAGGGCAGATGATGTACTCAAGGGCTAAAATATGAGGCTTACCGCAATAGTGTGTACGAAAAGTCTAAGAGGTTCCAAAGCTGCTCCATTGTGATAGACTAAAAGGCTACGAGTTTAAATTTATCTGAATTCCAAATATTAAACAATGTTTTAACAGCATCTGTTTATATCCATAACTGTAAAGTAAATCATAATGTACCATAGAAGCTTAATGCATTCTGGCAAAATAGACATTATGTCTTAATAGAATGAGCATTCCGTATTAGTAAATACTGTTAGAAAAACTTTTCAAAAGGTTTATCTACAGACCTCGCCATTAAGGTCTATAAGGAATTTTGTAGATTAATCAATTGGAAATATTTTCTAACAGTTTGGAAAACTTATTGAATCGACGCCTTAATTTACCTTCGTTCCTTAATGAAAATGGTGATAACAATGAACACTGATCAGTCACAACTGGGTCGGGGTCATCAGCTTCCAAGGCTCATTGATGCATGTGTAGAGCGAAGGTTAGCACATCTGGTCTGATTACACAGAAGAGCTACTGTAGCTCAAATTGCTGTAAAATGTAACGCTGCCATGATTGAAAGGTGTCGGCACACACAGTACATCACAGTTTGCTGCATATGGGGCTGCATAGTCGAAGACTGGTCAAAGTGCCCATTATGACACATGTCCCTCGACGAAAGTGCCTTCAATGGGGGCGTGAGCATCAGAACTGGACCACAGAGCAATGGAAGAAGGTTGCCTGGTATGAAGAGTCATATTTTCTTTTAGATAAGGTGGATGATCAGGTGTGTGTGCATCATTTACCTGGAGAAGAGATTCACTATGGAAGAAGGAAGATGAAGGCAATGTTATGCTGGAAATCCTTGGGTCCTGGCGTTCATGTGACATGTTACTTTTACATGTACCACTTACCTAGAGATTGTTCCAGACTACATACACCCCTTTATGGCAATGGTGTTCTTTGATGCAGAGGCCTCTTTCAGCAGGATAATGCACCCTGCCACACTGCAAAAAAATTTCAGGAATGGTTTGAGGAACATGACAAAGAGTTCAAGGTGTTGCCTTGGCCTCCACATTCCCCAGATCTTAATCCGATTGAGCATCTGTGGGATCTGCTGAACAACAAGTCCAGTCCATAGAGGCCCCACCTCACAACTTGCAGGACTTAAAGGGACACTCCAGGCTCCCAGACCACTTCTACCCATTGGAGTGGCCTGTGTGCCAACTCCCACCATCCTTAAACCTGCAAGTGTAATTATTGCAAATTTTTTAAGCTGCAATAATTACCTTGCAGAGTTAAGTTATTCTCTAGTGGCTGTCTATCAGAGGGACTTCCGGGTTCTTAGAACAAGAAAGTCTTTTAAATGACGCGCGTGTGGCCGGAATCCCCATAGGAAAGCATTGAATAATGCTTTCCTATGAGGAGGTCTAATGCGCGTGCGTTGCCATTGCCACGCATGTGCATTAAGTATTAAGTCTCTCCCCACGATTGACGTCGGTAGGGGAATAGCGTGGGCGGATACTGACCCAGTACCCAGGCACATCGGCGCTGGATTCAGGTAAGTCACTGAAGGGGTTTTAACCCCTTCAGAAACATGGTATGGGGGGTGGGAGGGAGAGAGGACCTGCAGGGTCCTGCAGTGGCAGGAAAACGGATAGGTTTTCCTGGCACTGGAGAGTCCCTTTAAGGACCTGCTGCTAATGTCTTGGTGCCAGATACCCCAGATCACATTCAGAGGTCTTGGAGTCCATGACTTGAGGCATCAGAACTGTTTTCACAGCACGTGGTGGATCTCATGATATTAGGCAGGTAGTTTTAATGTAGTGGCTGATAAGTGTGTTGCACATAGAGACAATTCCACTTTTTTTTTTTTTTATCTCAAAAGAATAAAAGTATAAAAAAAAAATATTTCTAAAACAGTAAACTGAAATATGCAGTATTACTGGGCTTATTAAACATATCCTTGTATGTAAGGGAAGAAATATTAAGGAAGTGATGCACACTGGGAAATAGGTTATTGGAGAACACCACCAGTCACCCCGGTACTATGGAAAGAAACTGCAATCCCCAACATGTGTCCTCCTTCGGACGCCTTGTATGTTAGAATTCCTCTGTAAACAATTATAAATCATTCATGGGTCTAAGTGAGTGGGATCACAATGCAATCAACTCTCTCCATTGTTTTGATTCCAGAAATTATTTTTATCACAAAGAATTTCAAAGCAATATTACATTTGTTGCAAACAACTGCATCCAACAGATCCTTCAGAACTGGACAAGATGGTACCAAGTGATTAGGAAGAAATCGGCCTTCTACTTAGAATAGCTATATGAGCTGCTGTAACCCCATTGTACAAATCAAAAATCAAGTTAGGAAGCTTTTAGATTATGAAGAACTTGATTCCCATGCACCCAATCCCTGAGCAAGCCTCTTCTGGAGTCAAACTATTAATTCATAACGTAATATGTGAATGGACGGACGGGATGTAATGGATAATTGGATGGATGGAAAGTAGACAGACACCTTCTGTAGCTGTACATTCATCTTGTTTTATTGCAACTCCTTGCGTGTTAGTGCTTCTTTTGTACTGCGCTGCGTAATATGTGGGTGATTTATCAATAAGAATAATAGCGTATGCAATATTCACATAGCACTTGGCCATTCTAAGCAGTGTGTGGTGTGGTAGAGTTGGTTACTTATTTCTCACTTCTTGTTTTAATTTACATTTTTCTTCTTACATTATTTTTGTTTGCGTTATATGTTTATTATATTTATGATTGGTTTTACATTTTTTATTTGTTTACTTTTTCTTTTCTCTTTTATTTTTTGATATTCTGTATTTATATATTTATTTATTTTTTTATCGTTCGTTTAAGCGCATGCGTCTGTTGGCATGTGCCGGTGGAGACGCTGTGTGATCTCCTAGCACACAGTGTGCTCGTCTGTCTAGGAGTCCCAGCGCCTGCACGGTATGTTGTGCCGTCTGCGCATGCGTCATTTTGCCTGTTGTGCATGTCCCCAGATGGACAACGTGGGCTTCTTTAGTTGTGGGAGTGCTAGGTAGACGGAGTGGCTCATGCGCGCTGGGGGCTCGGTCTGCCACGGGTGCATTGGGAGATGAAGGAACATACAAGGTACTGTGCCATTATGAGTTTATTTTATTTTATTACTTTAGGGGGTGTACCGGAGCTCCCTGTACCCCGACTGGGTACCTCTGCCAGGACCGCTTCCTAGCTGGAACAGGGGACAAACAGCAGCACTTCTGCCCACAGTCGCCGTGGCTTGACTGGGGTCCTGTAATTGCTCTCTCCTGGAACCGAATAGGGAACTCGCTCTAGCAACCCCCAGGCACTGGGCGACACTCAGTCCTAGGAGCTCTAGTCCTTACAAGGACTCTCCCCGTTGAATTCTCCCCACTGGAACAGTGATTAAAGAATAGCCCTTTCCCTTCCCAGTACCCAGCTGACACACAGTTCTGGGAGTACAAGCTGGTATGCTTTTATTGGCAGCCACAACTGGCCTTATATTCAGGTCCCCATGCAAGGGGCACTCCCACCTGGACCTGAGAGTAAACCACAGTAGAAACAAATACACAATTACATTGGCTCTCAGATCCAGGACACTCCCATACAAAATCAGATAATCCCTCCTCTGTGCCTGAGAGATAATTGGATCAGCAACTGTACTAATCTAATCCAATTATCTCCATGCACAGAAAAAACACACTTTTTTCCAAAACACCCCAAAAGTACCCTAAAAATACATAAAACCCCCAAAATCACCAAGAGCAGTTCAGGGGTTCAGGAATTTCCTGGAAGTCATTTGTTGACCGACCACACGCATGGTCCCATGTCCAAAACAGTTCCAACAGGGCTAGCGGTCGGTCTAGTTCGATAGTTTAAAAACAAACAAACTGCTGAACAAAGTCAATGGTCTTACCCTGGAGCCTATTCCCCTTGTTCAGTTGAACAATTCCACCGAACAGTGCCCTTCTAAGTTGAGTAGAACCGAACGCAGGCGATGATGGAAGTCCAGTGGTGTTCAGGAGTTTCTGTGCCCAATTTTAGTTCCATGAGATTCATGCCCAAACCCAGCTGCCTGCGTTCATGTGAACAAGATGGCCGCCACCTCGTGGTCGTCCATAGGAATTGCGGCCACCCAGACGAACACTTAGAACACTGAGGTGGAAATTGTTACTATGTAGCAATTAGCTCCAGGGTGGTCTCTGGTTCGTGCGGCTGTTTGGTTCCCGAACCACATAATCCAAATACACGAACGGAGACCTTTATATCACATTATACAAAGGCCCATAGTCTGTGGGCAGGATTATAGCAAGCAGGCTCCTCCAGGAACTAGTGGCAAACTCACTTGAAAAGGGGAGTTTGTCACAGGGGGTTAAGTTTGACTCATAATGGGGGTTCTCTACACACTGGGTGAAGGTTTGCCCTCAGTGTGTGGTTACTTTGGTAGACATACTATCATGATAGAAGGGTGTGAACATTCCTGGGACCTCCTCTGTTTGATCTAATATGTAGATTTCATTTATCCCTGGTTTTTGTTTAATATATATGCAATGTACTGCTTCCTTTTACCATGTTTTTGGTGAGCTGAATTAATTAGTTTATTAAGTTTTAATTATATCATTGTGTGTTTTAATGAAATGTGAAATTTCAAATTAATCATTTATGTGTGTATATATAAATGCTCACTTTTTGATGTGGTGTTAGCTTGATAAAGACCTGGGTACAGGTTGAGACGTTGCGGTGTCCATTAAAGGACCACTATAGGCACCCAGACCACTTCAGCTAATTGAGGTGGTCTGGGTGCCAGGTCCTTCTAGGGTTAACCATTTGTGCTGTAAACATAGCAGTTTCGGAGAAACTGCTATGTTTACCTATGGGTTAATCCAGCCTCCAGTAACTGTCTAATTGACAGCCGCTAGAGGTGCTTCCGCACTTCTCACTGTGATTTTCAGTGAGAAGACGCCAGCGTCCATAGGAAAGCATTGTGAATGCTTTCCCATGAGACTGGCTGAAAGCGCGCGCGGCTCTTGCCGCACATGCACATTCAGCTGATGACGGAAGAAGATGGAGCCCGGCGCTGGAAGAAAGGTAAGGGATTAACCCCTTCCTCTCCATCCAGCCCGGCGGGAGGGGGGCCGTGAGGGTGGGGGCACACTCAGGGCACTATAGTGCCAGGAAAACAAGTATGTTTTCCTGACACTATAGTGGTCCTTTAAAACTGCTTACACTTATCACAGCGAGTGCCTGAGATTTCTTCTTTGGTGTGGTAGAGGACATTTTCCTAGTTGCTTATTTTAAACGTCATGTTTCACATGTTCTAGGTAACGAGACAATCATTTTAAAATGTAAATATATATAAGATAACCGACAGCTTCACCAAGTGATCTCCTATTCACTTTCCTTGCCACCATCACCTCTTTTAAAAAAAAAATTCACACAATGGTGAAGCAGCTTTAAACTAGAATTACTATTCCTTACCGTTACGTGTCAATTTAATTTATTGTTTTTAATATTTCCAAATCATTTTTCACAGTTTCTTTTGCACTATTGACTAAACTCTAGCCAATGCGCTTTATTACACTATAATTAAACTGAAAAACTGAACACTTTACCAGTTAAAAACAATCTTCCATTTATAGACACAACATCCAAATTGCTATCGATTTAAATGGCATCTAAACAGGTTTTAGTATACAAAAATAAAAGATATATTGGATTTGTTTAACAGTAAAATTACCTTCATGTATGTACACTTACAAAACAGCACGGATACATATTAAAAAGATTAGGACAGCAAGCCTTATCAAAGTAAATCACAGTATATCTATATATAGAAAAATGTTATTGTAACCATAAAACAGCACTTTCTATTTTCTGCAAATATTTCATTTGTCCGATATACTCATAGCCATGTCAGGAAAACCAGAGAAATGTCTCATTATTTCACTTTTATGAAAACCAAGGCAGACAAAACACTTTGTAGGAGAATGACAGCTGATATATGTACACATGTTAATAGGCTATTAAACTGAATTCACCGACTGCAAAAGGTGTATTAAATACATCAGTCAATACATCCACGTTGCACACAGTATCGAGGCACTTGGGTAATCCATACTGAAGACAGGTGAATTTGTGAAATTTCTTAAAGAAACTAATGTAATGAACACAACTTGCTAGATTTATCCAAATTAAAATCAGAGATTTAAAGCATTTGTCTTTTGTTTCATCATTGCGTCCTATAATAATTGCGAGAGCACCACCTCCATATGTTAATGATATACAACAAAACACTCACTCGCCTTCTTCTAAATGAAAAACATACCAAAAGAATACAGGTTGGATATCCCAAGCTAGGTCTACAAATGTATCTCTTCGTGGAAGTTTTCTATGAATTTCCCCAAATCCCTGAGTCCGTTACATTGTATAATAGAATGTGTAGAGTTATAAACTTTCATTCCATGTAGGCAGTACGTTTCGGTCACTGGATATGGGATAAAAATATGTTCATTGACACGATATTGACTTCTCTTCATCACCATCACCCCACATTACCTCTGTCTCTTTTCCTTTATTGCCGATAGCACATTCATCCTCTCTCTCCTTTTATCCACAGCTCTTAAAAGCACAAGTTATTTATTTCGGGTCTGTTTCTTTGTTTTAATTCTATTACCGTTCCATTTTCTTCACTCAGCTGCCCCAGGAACAAGGTTTCCAGTTGATGATTTTATTTCGGTTTCATTCTTTCAACTCTCCTTCCTTATTTGTTCCACATTTTCCACCACTTTACCCGTTCTTCTTATAACTCAGGCTCTGTGACTAAACAGTAATAATCAGTCCTGGCCGAGTAGTTACGTGACCCTAGATCTGATATGTCCATGTCGCCAGTGGTGGCTCTCTCGTTCGTAGGAGTCACCGGAGCCATCCGAGGAGGAGGAGCTTTGTATAGTGTCCTCCGAACACCTGAATGAGAAGAGGTTTAAGGAAAATGAATCATGGGAGAAGGAAACAAAATAATGCACGATTATATAGGGACAGAAAATGAGACTAAATACATATCAGAAATCTCAATTCTACCACCTCTCCTCCCCTTACTCCTTACTTTTATCTTCCTATTTTTCTTACTCATTCTTGGTTTTTTTCTGTTTACAATTTGACTTTGGTATCGCACATATTTCTTTATTAATAAAAAATACTTTGGGGTTGTTATTCTACTCTATTATCAAAAAAGGAACAAACATTATTGCTTTCAAATCTTCTAATTGCTCCCATATTGTCATGATCATTCCATATAGAAGATGTATAAACTGAACATTCAAAAAAATAAAAAATATATATAATCTGTATCCATATGAAGCATAAGGAAGCGAAAGCAGTTTACTAATATAATGAATTTTTCATTTATAAAGAAGATCTATAGCATGTACCCAAGTCTCCATCCGGGTCAGGATCGGCGGTCTCACTGCTTTCAGCCAACATAGGGTCCTTGTCTTCTTGAAACAGAGTTTGGGGATCTCCTTTTCCACTTGGCAAAGGAACTTTCCGAGGAAGAGCAAGGCGTAGTTCTTTCCAAAAATCAGAGGATGGAGACTGCAGAGATGGTTATAAGGTAGTTAGAAGACGTTTAAAAAGGTAAATGAGGAGATTCTAATGTATTATTGCTTAGTGATATTATATGTGGCATTTCAAATCAACAGGGTAGTGGGGTCAGTGATAGAGCAATAAGGCACTCAGGAGCTGGGTTACTGTAATAAGGAGTTACAGGGTCAGTGATGGAGCTATAAGGCACTCAGGAGCTGGGTTACTGTAATAAGGAGTTACAGGGTCAGTGATGGAGCTATAAGGCACTCAGGAGCTGGGTTACTGTAATAAGGAGTTACAGGGTCAGTGATGGAGCAATAAGGCACTCAGGAGCCGGGTTACTGTAATAAGGAGTTACAGGGTCAGTGACAGAGCAATAAGGCACTCAGGAGCTGGGTTACTGTAATGGATGCATACGAGAGCTGTGAAAAGACAATGAGGAACTTGACATTTTATCAGCATTTGAGAATATTCACAATAAAAGATGTTACTCTAGTTGCTCTTTAATGGTTTCTGTCCCTCCCAAGACATACCACAGACCCTGCCTTCCACAGCAACAACTTCAAGGATCCTCGTTTAGAGTGCAAGAGTTGGGTGACTTCAGCTGGCAAATCCTTATACTGATTCTCAAACACGATAAAAATGGGCCGGTGTGCGAGTTCTAGCAGACGTATCAATCCCTCCCTAATAATGGAAGACAGAGATGATAGTCCATGTAACAGAGACTTTGATTACAGCATTTATACAATGAAAAGTAATACAAGCAGCTCTCTTTGTAAATGGTCTTAAATACTGTTAAGCGGTTCTTAAAAATAAAGATAGAATAAACCTGATTTTCCATATGAAAACTATCAAAACACTGAATAGATCACCATCCAATCGATTCCTGCTCGATCGATAGATCACCGTCCAATAGATTCCGATTCGATCAGCAGATCACCATCCAATTGATTCCTGCTCGATCGAATCGGCTTTGGACTTCCTCGCACCATACTGACTTCATTACAATGCAGTGGTTATGGTGCCCAGAGTGTCCCTTTAAATAATATGTGCTAATAAAGTAGATTTTAAGTAAATAATAATAATAAACACATGTTTTCTCCAATAGTGATATTTGTTATAAGTGCCCTCTCCATGACACATGCTAAATACATATATAACATGTATGATGAAATATGCAGAAAACAAACTCACGGGAAAAACAAAGCAATGATTATAATAAAACATGCATGTGTATAGCGAAACCTGCTGGTTTCCATAGGAATTCCATACAAAATATTTATGGCATTCTGTCAGAGATTTGTGGAGACTTGAAATGTCAAGGTTAGAATGTTTTCCATCTCCTTTGCCTTTAGGATATGTAGGTGTTGCCCAGCGGTATATTTGTGAAAAAAAACTGCATACATATTTTTTACAATTTCTTTTTTTCCCCTTTTTAAAACAGGCTTTTCCCCACCTGTCAATCAGGTTTTCTGTACAGATTGCATGGACCTCTATGCCGAAGAACCGGCAGACTGAAAGAGCAGGGGAGC